CGAAAGAAAGAGATGAAGTGCAAAGACGTTAAAGTGGCTGAAGAAGTCACTAGGGGGACATTCTGAGCTTCCGATTGGCTATTCATGTCATATATAGAAGTAAGTGTATATAAGGGAGTGTTTTCAAAAATGGAAAGAGGTGGGTGGGGTGCCACTGTGTTTGATTTATTACATGAGCAATATGTTAGCAAATTGAAAAGATAAGACCTTATTTTATATTCTAACTTGTTAATATCGGTAATTTGAGTTTATAATTCGTTCAAAACTATAGACTTAGTATTTTGACTTAACATCTAATTTGAACCAGTGCTGCATTCAACATACCACATGACACACAAAAATTGATGTTTACCTGTGGGTTTTTAGTATTTGCTTTTAAATTAAGAAATTTAATAATATATAGTACTAAAATTTGAATTATAATCTACAGTTTGATAACAAGCTTATTGACATAAACTCATGAAATAGTAGTTCAATAAAATTTTAAATGCGAGTCAACAAACGAGATGACATGGTCTTTCACCCGTGACCTGTCTTGAAAGGGATAAGTCTTGTATGTTTACTCAAAATGTGAAGCTAGTAGAGCTATAAATGAAATGATCTATTTTCATTGTTTGAAGACTTGCACAGAAAAATTTCATGTATTAATTTTATCATTGTGTTTTTTCATTAACATATATTATTTCGGTACATTATTTGTATACATGTAGATTAATTATAAAATATGTGTACTTATAATGTATATTATGTAACAATATATGTATAGTGTATTTCATCATTCAGATATTTGTCGACACTTCAGTGTAATAGGGTTAGGTGTGGCTTGGATCTTAAGCATGCTGGGCTGTAGTTTGGTAGGCCCAAGGTTCAAGTTGTGATATGTTACTGAACATGCTTCACACTCCCACTTGTGTAGATGTTATAAATACAACAGTTAATCTTGCTGTTTGGTTAAGACCAGTAATTTAGTGGTGGGTGCTGCAGTTCAAAATTAAGGTTGTCTATGCCTGAACTTGGAGTCTTTCAATCTGGCTGTTTAACTTGTGTTTTGAATAAAGTGTTGTTCAGTTTAAAATATCAAGTTACTTCTGATAAGAATACTTAATATTATTCATATCATTGTCACATAATAATCTATAATAAACCAACTTATCATAAAATTGATGATTGTATTAATTCAAATAATTTCCTAATCATGATAATACTTGGATTACTCAAGAAACTTATCATTGTTAATGTTTAGCACAATGTCAGTTGTAGTTTTTTTATCATGTTTAAAATTAGTGAACTAGGAAGACTTAAATTGTGCATTTGTGAATAGAATTGTGATTGATTTTAAAATATGTTTGTCTTTCATTTTAGAACACATCTGATAGAAACTCTTGATGACTTATCTCAAGATGATCTAGATTTTTCAGAACGTGATGTTATGATTGTGAATTAAAGAAAACTAATTCAAAGAAGAGTTGTTAGATGTTACATCAGGTGAGTAGAAAACCCTCAAAATTGTATATTCATTAACAGTGCTTCTGGTAGACACAGTTAGAGAAAAATCACATTTGTCTGTGGACTTTAATCTTATTTATGTTTGAAGTTATCAGGACTTGAGAGAGAGAGAGAGATTTATACATATTTACTGAAGTTGTATAATATAGAATTCATTTTGAGGATATGTGTATTTAAAATGTTTGTTGTATTACATTGGTTATAGAAACATCAGATAGGCCCTTACTGGTAAATGATTATATGTATTTGTGCAAAGAATACACAGCGACTCTCTTTCTCAAATTTTTTTATGTAATAGAAGTATGTTGTGATATATGAGAACAAACCATTTGGTTTTGACTTCTGTAATGCAGAATACATGTTCTTTCTGCTTTTGAAAAGATATTGGAACAGCTTTAGTTAGGTACAACAGACAGTGGCAAATCTGCTACAAGAAGAATATAGTAGAAGTACAATAGATATTGGAAGACCCATAGTTATGAGTATTGTACAGTTAAGTACAAGGGGAAGTGGTACTAGTGAAACTGTCATATTTGGTACCCTGAAAGCTTAACTTGCAGTAATAAGTAGTGGGATAAAATTTAAACTGTTTTTATAATTTCAATGCAAAGATTAATAAAATACATTTCATTCTAGCGATACATTTACAACTGTAGAGTATGTTATAGCTTGTGTTCGTGTCATTTATTGTCATAATGTCTGGATAGAAAATGGTGATCAAAAAACGAAGTGCTGTTGAGAAATAATTAATGACTGTGTAAGCAAAAAATAAGAAAATATTGTGAAAGATTCTAATTAATGACTTTAATCATGGCAGATACATACTATTATGTTAGTTGGCCCATAGACGGACTACATTTTGTACAGCTGTTATTATAAGGTACATTTTGTTGTGTGAGTTATTCTGTTGTTTCTTTCTTGCTCATGTCTCATTATTACAATCTGTATGCCTTGAGCCTAAAAATTAAAAAAATATTCATTTATATTATCTTATCATTAACTAATAAGTATAATTATAAAGATGTAGAAGGAAGAGGAAGATGAGGAAGTAAGAAAATATATTTGGGGAGAAGCAGGAGTGAGGAGATTAGAAAATAAGCTAATAGACATAGAAGAAAAGGAGAAAAAAAAAGTTGAAGAGGATAAAATTGAGCAAGCACTGGATAGATGAGATATTAATATAATAAGTAAGGAAGAGAGTTAGATGATTGGATGAATAAGGTAGTAAAGCAAAAGAGATCAAATTAAAGCAGATTATCAAATAAATGGGAATAAGAAAAAAAGCAAAGAATATAAAAGAGAGGAAATGAAATGTGAGAAGATATGCAAGGAGAAAAAAACAGGAATGGGAAAAGAAAAAAGAGCAAAGGATTTAAAAGGTGAAGATAGAACAGGATCTATAGCAATTAATAAATAAGGATAGAAATTAATAAAAAATAAGAGGAAATTAACTAGAAAATAATAATGCTTTAAACTACTGATTTGTTTGCAATGTGATATTATTGGATTTTTTTAATTTCTTAAATTTGTATTTTGAATTTAAGCAGTGTACATTGGTGTGGTGGTTTTTAATACAAGTTAAAGAAATATATTAAAATATTTATTAATTTTATTCCTAATACAAAATACTCAAAGCATAGGAACTTTGACTTTTGATGCTGTATCTTTAATATCTGGAGAGAACCTTGAAGATATTTGATATTAAGGGTTAAATAATGCATCACGTATTAAATTTATTTTTCCTTGTTTTTTAACACTTATTTTGAGTCAGTTACATCTTATTTTATTGTCTGATACATTACCCGTGTAATATATTTTTTTCAAACATTTTTCTTCAGTATTGATTGTTTCATTATTGTTCAGAATTGACCTGAACTGTTTTTATAATATGCAGTAAAAGAAGAAGGAAAATTACCCATTTCATAACATTCCATTTTTGCATAAAATGAGAATTACTAAATAGCGGCCCTCCAGTGGCATGCGGTATGTCTGTGGACTTACAGCCCTAGAAACCGGGTTTTGATAACCCGTGGTGGACAGAGCACAGATAGCCCATTATGTAGCTTTGTGCTTAACTTTAAACAAACAAACAAAATACTAAATAGTGACTTACAAAAAGTTTGTGTTTTAAATTAATCACAATGTTAATGTGAAATACAAGTGAAACAAATGTGTGGAATTTGAGTGCATTATAATACATTCTTTTACTTAAGCATGAGATAATACACTTGATGATAATTTCATGTAACTTTTGAGGCTGACTTAGTTCTCAGCTTCTGTTTCTCTAGACTTTGGTTGTTAGGTAAGCTAGAGTATAGAGTATACATGTAATGACTGTTTGAGATAGATTCATATGAAGTTGATTCATAGCAATTTGTATTCATAAGACTCGTGGTAATTTTGATTTATAATCCAATTTAAATAAACTTTAATTCCATCCATTTTTTTTCTCTGAAGATTTATTTGAAAAACTAATTAAATCCCACAGATTGTTAGTTTCACTAAAACGCAAGTGTACATGTGCTCCTATTAAAACAATATGTAACTGAACAGAAATTTATGATTTTCAGTTACTTGTAGATTAATAAGGTATTTAATGCTTGTTTGTTTTTGTTCTTTGTATAGTGTAATACAAAAACAAGTCTCTTGAATATGTATTTCTGATTACATATGAAGAAAGCTGTAGTGGTAAGTGTTAATTTCAACATGGCACTGTGTGTTCAGCTACAGAGAACTCTGAAAAGGATTAAAGTTTAACTTCAATTCCTGTTTAAAGTTTCATAATTTAAGACATTTTCATTATTGACAAACATTCAACTAAACCTTCCAGACTTAAGTGAGGAACAGTGACTGATGAATTTAAGTTCAAAATGGCAACAGCATCCATGTGATCTGAATCTTTGTATACCATTCATTAACTTATTTGTGATACACAAAAGTAATTTAGAAATGCTTAATGTCCAGATATGAAAAGTTAATGTTCATTATAATTAATAATTCAGCATATGAAATATGCATAGCACATAGTCTGATTCATTTAATTTTTTATACAAGATTGACTGATAACTCCACAAGTTAGGCATCAAAAGTAAAGCCACTATCATATGATACCATATAAATTATAATCTTGTTAGAATTAACTTGAATTTCAAGATTGACTGATAACTCCACAAGTAAGGCATCAAAAGTAAAGCCACTATCATATGATACCGTATAAATTATAATCTTGTTAGAATTAACTTGAATTTCACGTCCAAGATAAAAGTCCACTCAGTTTTTTATTGTACTGGTTTTTGGAAGAATACTATGAATGATTATACTTTCATAATCCCTCAAGTGTTTTGGCCTGAACATATAGTTATTTAAAAATTGTATTTGTTAATACAAATGTTAGTTCAAGAATTTAGTAGTATTTCTCACAAATAATACAACTAAAATTCTAATATATAGTTGTATTGAGTTAAAATTATTATTATAATATTATCAGTCACCTTTTACCTCTAAAGAAAACAACTGTAAACAATGAGAGAGAGTTAAGGAAAAAGGTATTAGAAATATCCATATTTGAAGTAAGGAGATAAATTATTGAAAAAATTAATATTTTGAGAAATTGCTTATCAAATGAGTTCTTGCTTGTTGTGGTATTATACCCTCTCATGTTCACTACAGTTGTTCTGGCTGTGTTCTGATATTACTCAGTTTTCCTTATAAAAAATGTCCTTTATATGTGTTCTTATACTATTCACTTTACTCAGAAACTTCCTTTTAATTTTTTTTTTACACCCGAAAACTTTCTCTTACAACTGTTCAAACTATTTATTTATTGTATTGTAAAAATTCACTCTTGAATATGTAATGACCATTAATTTTTCCTGAGCATGTTCTGTTATCTTGATTTTACCAACATTCAATCTTGTGTTTTCGGCTCTCAGTGTAGCCTGGTATAGAAATAATTTATAAATTATAATACCCTTTTTTTTGTCACACTATTTCTTAAACTGTGAAATGAATGTTTTTCTCCTTCCAAATTATACATCATAAACGGATATCCTTATTTCTATTATAGATATTTGGTTGTAAGAAATTTTGAATTGTTTATTTTTTTTATAAATGATTACGGATGCCTTTTAATTTTGAACATGGCTACCTTTTTAACTGTGATTATTGATTTCCTGGCTTATATTTCGAGATGCTGGTTTTTTCATTATAACCTGTCATTCCAGCAGTAGTTGGGTAATCTTGTACACACGCATACACTTAATAAAGCTACTTTTTTCACAGTTAATTTAACTGTGTATGTGTATATGTATACGCACACTATATAATACACACACACATAACATGTAAAATCTACGTTGTCACTAGCTAACCACATGACAATGTTATTTGTAAGAAAAATTATACTCATTCAATTTAGGAATGTTGTATGCATATGTTAATTTGAAAGTTTTAGTTATAAAGATCAAAATGATAAAAACTTTCGATTCATATGTCATTCTTATTCTTTGTCGATCTGTTGATTTTGGACTTTTTTTCATTAGGGAATACAGGGAGTAATTTGTAACAACCCACAGATTCCAACCCAACTCACCAGCTCTGAACTACAGAGCCCATACCCAATGAAGATAAAATCCCCAGCACTATTTTGGAAGAATTGCATGTTAACACACAGCATTATAGCTTTTTTTTGTACGTAATAAGAAAGTTGGATTTACGTGATCAATGTTTAATTTTCAGTAATAATCATTAAAATATTTCACAGGCTTTTATGTACTACCATGCATCCAATACTGTATTAAAATTATAAATCAATATTGAAGGGCAGGTTGTTGTAATAAGCTTGCACATGAAAATAGTTTAAGTGTTCGTGTAATTCTTGATAATAACAATGTAGGGAAGTATGAGGAATAAAGTTTATTTTGCATTATGAATTCCAAAAGTGTTTTGAGTCCAATATCACAAAATATTCCTTGCACTTTTATGCTGTGGGTGCATTATATGAATGACAGTCAGTCCTTTAGTGTAAGTGGTAGGGTGCTACTGACTGGCTTCATTCTCTCTGATCAATAGCTCAAAAGTAGGGATGGGAGCAGATACCCTTAGTAGCTTTGTCATAAATACAAGCATAAGTTTACCTTCATAATGATGTACATTTATTTTTCTGGCAGAAATATATAATTATTTTTTATAAAGACTAGTTTCAGAATTTGGGGTTAATTCTTACAAAATATGACTAAAATTCCAAACACCAAACTTCTCATTTTTGTGTTATGATACAGTTCATTTTATATTTAAAACTTTGTTTTAGGTTTTATGACATCAAATCTTGTGCCTTGAAAACCCCTTGCTAGATATGTTACATTTCTTATGAATTTCTTGTTGTTGTGGTCCTAATACTTTCCTGTTGGTTACAGTTCTATCCGAAGATAATAAAGTGTTCACAAAGTTGTTGAGATACAACTTTAATGTCACAACCGAGGATTGTAATGCACAGTTCAAGTTAGATGTGATTTGTGTATTCGTTTTGAACTTTTTGTATATACTTATATCTAGTTTATTTAAGATCGTAAAAGTAATTAATAAGAGTACAATGGACTTATAATGGAGAGGAAGAAACAATAACTGGGGTCTGAGAATATGACACAATCAAGAGAAGTCTGCTTCTGCACCAGTACCTTTTGCCACAGATGCAGAGATCCACGTCCATATTATTGATAGAGCCTTGGGAATGGGGAGTACTAGAACAGCAGCAGAAGTCTTCTTAAGCTGCATAAACTGCTCAACCTACCATGGTTATATCAAGTATGTGGAGATGATATTTAATCAACTTGGTCTTTATGATGACAAGAACACCTGGGTATCCCTGTGGCTCACTTATAAATCTTTGAGATATTGTCCAATCAATGTTTGCAGTTACCAGAGACCAAGAAACAGTTGGAGATGCATCCAGTAGAAGTCAACAGGAGGAGGGTGTGGCAGACAAATTGTCAGGAGCCTGATGATCCTTCTAGACTAGATAGGTGTGATTAATTGAGATACCTACTTCATGTCACCACCATTTGACTGCAATAGCAGATACTCAGCTGTCAAACAGAAGAGTTACAAATGACTTCACAGGCATCAATTATTCTTGATGCCTTAGAGCACCAGCATCCATATGAATGCAGCTCTCGTACCTAAGATTGGCATATCATGACACTTGTCATCTCTCAGTCTCACGTGATCTCTGGTAGATTCAGATGTACTACCAGGGAGGACTGTTTCCAAAAGTATTTCAATGAAATAATTAATTACTTAGAATGACTGAACTCGGGGACAAGTAGCACAATGCTTGATGGGCTTTAAGGCCCAGCACTTGATGAAGATGAAGGTTGGTGGTAATTAAGATGAGATGCATTTACATTTTAATCCAGTGCAGAACAAAGCAATCCACAGGGCTAAATTCATTGTTCAAAAGTGTGGAATTCAGAAAACTGATATTTATTTGGATAATGCTTTTGTGGAAATGTATGATCTAGTGTTGTGGTGGCAGATCATCTACAGACTCTTGACTCCTATTGACACATGGATGTCAGTGACATTCTGATAATACCTGAAGGCTTGCAGTAATTGAGTCAAACAGGTTGCTAGAATGATGGTTTGTATTATGCCATTTGACCTGTGTAACACATCCACCTCTTTTGAGAGGCTAGTAGAACTTACAGTGAGGGTGCTGCATTGGGAAGTGTACTTGGTGTATGGTGATAATGTCTTGATTTTTAGCCACACATTTGAATATGCTTTTGAGAACGTAAGTATGGTGCTTCAATGGATGAGGAAAGCAGACTTGAAGCTGAAATGAGGATTTTGTGCACATATGTGTATATATATGGAGTTTCTTTATCACATTTTGAGTAGAGATGAAGTTTCTGTGGATTCTGTAGAAACTGTAGTGCTGTAAGAGTTGCCTCAACCAATGACCAAATAAGAAATCCACAGTTTCCTTGGGCTTGCATTGTACTAGTGGTCTTTTGTGGTCAACTTTTCTATTATTGGCTCTTATTAAAACTAATTTGCCTCTTAGGTTGTTATTGCAATTACTACATTTATTTCTAAAGGTATGAGTGCACCTGAAAATACCACAAATATTGGAAGCTCCTGTGTATTTTAAATAATATATCTGGCATTGGTTTAATGAGATAATGTCGATCCAAAAATAAAAGATAAAACATTTTGAAATATCACCAAGACAATCAATATTATATTTATAAAACATAAATAATGAGAAATAAATATATAATTTCTTGTTTATGGATTAAGACTACATTAAATCAAATCTTAAGGTATGCAAATATTAATATTTACAGGTAATTGTAAGCCTACATGATGTACTAAAACTTCTTTAAAATAAATATATCCTTGCTTTCATCCTTCTTTCAATTATTAAGTACCATTGATCTTATCTTATATCTGCAGGGTAATAATTATAAATTAAGCAATCTACCTCCGAGTAGTGTAAAGTGTAAGATATTATACCATGACACAAGTGTGGCACATGGCATGCATGAAATCAGTTGAAACACTTACAAAACCTCATCACAGGGGTGTTACTGTTGTACAATATGAATATTAACCACAAATGTCCCAGGAAGAGTGTATAAATATGTCCTTAATATTGTTGCATAAAACCACTATGCAACAGAGATAGCTCTTGAAGAATACCATAGGATGCATAATGTACAGGTAGAACCATACACCATCCTACACACAATAGTTTAAGTGCTTTAATGCTCTGTAATGGATTTATATTTTACCTGTGTTTATTGCTGATGTTAATATTTCATGTTTCGAAATAAGGTTTCACTTTCATATGTCTTCAGTAAAAGTCTCTCTTTATTTTGCAGTGTTTTGATTTTTGTATTTTCATCATATTGCAAGGTTGTAACTGTTCTGTGTAAATGTCCAAGTTGATCTTGTTTTTAAATGAGATACATTTATGTTGGGCAGGATTCAACAATATACTTGTTGTTGTAAAAATAGATTAGCACAGAATTTATAAAGAATTGATTAAGTTGTACAGTAAATGTTTTTGCTTTTCTGAGTTAGATATTAACTTGAATTGAATTCCTGGATGTTTATGTTTGTCACATCAAAGTTAAAAATGTGTCACTGTTAGTTAAAAGATCAAGTTAATCAACTCCAAAAACTAAATTTGCTCCCTTTTTATATTTTTTGGGGTGTACATGTATAGACAAAATATTGCACTGGGGCACCACACCATGAACTGTCACAGGTTAATGGTGTACAACTTAACTGTTGTGATAATTCAAGGATAAACCTCATGTAGGCCTCCTTCGGCCAGGTTTGATCATGGATGAGCATCCGTCCATTGTTAGCTCATGTTGATCGCTCGTCTAGAGCAGCGTCTCTTGTGACTAAGGAGACCGACAGTCCCGGATGCAGTGGTCACATATGTGCGTTGACGCTGGTCTGTTGGCTTCCTGTTCCTTTTGATGCACTCGTTTCTTGTAAGCCTGGGCATTCTGATATGGGGGACAGGCTGTTGTGGATAAACCTAGCACACAGCTATCTGATCTCCATAATAACTAGAAATTCAATAACCCTATGTATGGAAGGTTTGTTAGTTTATTTTGCTTAGAATTTCTTGCAAATGAGCACAAGAGCTGTCTGTACATAGCCATCCCTAAAATATGAACAGACGTAAGGGAAAGCAGCTAGTACACAGCACCCACCACAAACTCTTTGGCTACTCTAACAGAATAATGGGATTTGGTGATCACTCTTATAGCACACCCATGGCCCTAAAGTGTGGAATGTGTTTTTCTGGTAAGGAGAACACAAATCATGAACCCTCAGATTCACAGTATGAGTACATTAACAACTAGGCCATTCCTAGCCTATTTGTGGAAGGAAAGGTGTATTTATGTTTTTGTAGTTAGAAACAAAGAGCAGGACTTGGTGTTGAAGTTAAAATGAAAATAAAACAGTTTGCTGGATATCAACAACAGGTGGCTGATTGTTTATTGGGACTGTTGTGTTATGATGTAAAATTAAAAGTAAAATAAACAGATGACTATAATAAACTATAGGTAAGTAAAAGAAACTACTTAAATAAAAGATAATTAAAAAAAACAGTAATTAGTGGATTAATTGCAATACTAAAGGTACTTTTGTTTACATTTTTGTTTATGATTCATATATGATTAGGGACCTTATAGTAATAAAGTTAAGGACCCAATTTGTTGCATAAATAGTTTAATAAAAATTAGTTCCAGAAAAGTATATGTAAAAATCTGATGGTACCCCATCCATATTTCTGTGGTTAAAGACTATCTTAATGGAGATGCTCATTTATCTTGCAAGTAAGAGAAGTAAGCACAGTAAAAAGAGTAATGTCAGAAAATGTGTAGAATTAAATCTGAATTTCTGGCTTTATATTGAGTGAAATGTTAAAAGAAAGTGAAAATACTTACTAATAGTCTACAGGAATTAAGTACAACTGCACATTGAAACACTGTAAAGTACTCCTCTCTCTTAAGTTGTTAAGAACGTTCAAGTCAGAAAAA